CCCCCCTCCTTTGAAAAAAAACAATGTGGGTGGTTGACGGGTCCTCTGATGTGGTTTGCTTCTTCTTTCCTATTAAACATCTATCGTCCTTATCTCCCCTTGTTCTTTTTTATGTTTGTTACTCTCTTGTAACACCTCTAATCTTCTGGCGCTCATATGACCTTATGCAGTTGCGAGCGTCTTAAAATTTCTATCAAAATCAAACACCCCACCACCAAAAACAAAAAAAAGCCCTTTTCATTGCCAGTGAATGTGCGTTCTTACCGTCAGCGCTGATTTTCAACTAGGCTCATTATCCAGGATAGCAGTCTTCAAGTCTCAGTGTCAACTCTTTGAACCCCATCGGATGCTGGGAGCGTCTATTATTAGTGACAACTGTTTCGTTTTATTTAGTGCTAGTTTTTGCTTGTTTTGGGGAACTATTCCCCAACCAAGTTTTTTAGAAATGACTAAGCCTTTGTTTCCGCTATTTAGAAGTTGGAGGCAAAGTTTTGGGGTTATAATGAGACATAATGCACTAGGTTTAGGTGACTGTAGAAAAAAACTCCGGGAAACGGTGGAAAAAACTCAGGGCTTAAAGAGTTAAGGGACTGGCAGACTAGATCTAGCCCACTCGTGATATATTTCGAACCCCGGGTCTTCGATGGTGTCAGTTTCTTCACTTTCCTCATTCCCTATTTCCACCATTTTGTACATAGTAGTAATAATAATAGTTGTATTCTTATAGAGCGTATCCATGGTCTACATGCCTCATGTTTACTGCACGCTGGTAGGACCTTACTTATGCAGTTGTGAGCGCTGTAAAACACTGACTGAAAATTCCCCCAAAAGCGAGATATTCGCTTTTCTTGCCACAGCGATGATATTTGTAGCTTTTAAAAAAAAAAATTGTTGCATTTTTTTCTTCTTTTCTAGCATTATACAAAAATGAGTAGAGATGTTTTTATTTTGTAAGAATCAAAATAAAAAAGCGTCTTTGGTCACACAGGAAGTCGCCTCTGTTCTGGTTGGCCTACTCCGGCTTCCTCCCCGAGGCGCTGTATCTGGTGCGAGCCGGCTGGAACCTGGGAGAGGAAATCTGGATAGTCCTGCCGGGGAAGGATGAGAGGCAGGACCGGCTGCACGAGTACATGGTTCAATCCTACCGCACGGTGCCCTCGCTTCTGGCGTCATGTCGGAAGGTGAGTGCTTACTTTTGCCGGGGTTCGGGTAAATAGAACAAAGATAAGATGCAGTAGTGTCTGTCTACCTTACACATCGGGTAAATCGAACAAAGATAAGATACAGTAGTGTCTGTCTGCCTTACACATCGGGTAAAGAATTGAAGAACTTTCAACCAGATATGCACTGGCACAGTCAGTGGAAAGACCCACGGCGACATTTTGGAGAGAACAACGGAACATCAATGGACATGTCCGGAATGCAGGGATGTTGCTTCTTGAAACAATGAACATATCGGGTAAATAGAAGAAAGATAAGATACAGTAGTGTCTGTCTGCTTTACACATCAGGTAAATAGAACAAAGATAAGATACAGTAGTGTCTGTCTGCCTTACTCATCGGGTAAATAGAACAAAGATGAGATTCAGTAGTGTCTGTCTGCCTTACACATCGGGTAAATAGAACAAAGATGAGATACAGTAGTGTCTGTCTGCCTTACTCATCGGGTAAATAGAACAAAGATGAGATACAGTAGTGTCTGTCTGCCTTACTCATCGGGTAAATAGAACAA